CACACCTTCCCTTCCAGATTTCCCAGCAAATGGTAGCAGCAAGAGCTTTACCCTCTTCATTAATCTCCTTGTTGTCAAGAAATATAGATTCACACCATTTTTTAATACTGACAGCTTGATCTCTGTTAATCTGCAAAGTCAAGGAGCAGCCAAACCAGCATCTAGAAGCCCAAGGACATAAAAGAATCAAATGTTCAATTGTTACCACAAATTGAACAGATATCATCATGACCGCATTTTCTTTTCTTTAGTGCTTCTCTAGTAGCAAGGGCTCCACTCATCATTCTCCAAAGGAAATGCTTGATTTTTTGGGGTATATTCAGATTCCATATCACCTGCCAAAGTTTCTTAGGAATCTGATAAGAACCACTAGGATTCAGCTGCATCTTATTCTCCTCTACTTCTTTAGCAACATGATAACCAGATTTAACTGTATACTTACCATCTCTACACAAGAACCATATGGCTTCATCTTTTTTTTCTTCACAGGGGACTTCAATCTGTAAAATCAAATTCTTCACAGAATCTGTTACTCTACCATCCAAAGGACTCAAGTCCCATCTTCCGTTTCTAATCAGCATATCAACTTTAAGTTCCTTCTCTTGTTCATTCAAAAGAGAATTATTCAAACTTCCTTCATGGAGGTATGGTATCCATCTATCAATCTAGATTCTAATGTCACTGCCAATCCCTACTTTCCAAAACAGACCTCCTTTTAACAAGTTTCTTCCCTCAAGAATGTTGGTCCAACACCACGAAGCTTTCCCTCCTTTCTTAGCTTCCATAAAGCTATCTTTTGGAAAATAGATGCCTTTTCAAATCTTGCACCAAAGCTCCTCTGGATTCTGCAGCATTCTCCAAGCAGTCTTTGCAAGCAAAGCTTTATTAAAGGCTTGGAAGCTTTTGAAACCCATTCCACCAGCACTTTTAGCAGTAGACATTAGATCCCATCTCTTCCAATGGATTCTCTTTCCTTCATTTTCCTTCTGTCCCCACCAAAAATCAGAGATCAAGCTATCAATTTCTTTGCAACATTTCTTTGGAAACAAAAAACTGGACATTGGGTATACTGGTATAGAGTTTGCCACAGCCTTTATTAAGACTTCTCTGCCAGCAAATGTCAATAGCTTTTCCTTCCATCCTTGCAATCTCTTACAAATCTTGCTCTTCACAAAAGCCAATGCAGAGGACTTTGATCTCTCCCCCATATCAGAGGTAGACCTAAATACTTGCCAGGTTCAGTTGTTGCTCTCACCCCTAACTCATTCTCAATCTCTTCTTTAACCTCTACAGTAGTATTAGCTGAAAAGAAGATACAAGATTTGTCTAAATTCATTTCTTGACCAGAGGTTGCACTGAACATGTTTAGAATCTTTTTAAGAATCATACAATTCTCCCTACGTGCTCTTACAAAAAAGAGGGCATCATCAGCAAAAAAACAATGAGATAGAATAGGACTACCTCTAGATAGCCTTATGCCCTTTAGATCACCATTGCTTATATGGTATTGTATCATAGCAGACAAGACATCAGCAACAATAATAAAGAGATAGGGAGAAAGAGGATCACCTTGTCTTATTCCTCTTTTTGGCATGATTCTTGCAACTTTCTTTCCAGAGACCATTAAATCAAAGTTCATAGAGGTCACACATTCCACAATCCATCTAACCCATTTAGTACAGAAACCCATTTTCAACATGGTCTCCATCAAGAATAGCCAATCAACACGATCATAAGCCTTGCTCAAATCAATCTTGAGTGCTAAATCATGTCTAGAGCCTGTCTTTCTTCTTTTCAAATACTGAAAGGCCTCATGCGCAATTATCACATTGTCTTGAATCAATCTTCCAGCCACAAAGGCTCTTTGTTGTTCTGATATATACTTGCTCATTACTCCTCTCATTGTTGTAGTCATTATTTTTGCAATGATCTTATAAGAAACATTGCAGAGTCCAATTGGACGAAATTGGCTCACAGACTCAGGCTTATCTACTTTTGGCACCAAGACTATTTGATTTAGGCTTAATTTTCTGAGATCTGAATTCCCTTCAAAGAAGGCCCTGACCATACCACAAACTTCCTCTTTAGTCTCATTCCATGCTGACTGATAGAACAGTGCAGTGAAGCCATCAGGTCCAGGAGCTTTTGTAGCTCCTAAATCAAACACAGCAGCCTCAATTTTTGAATTAGTAACGGATCTGGTCAACCACTCATTTTCACTTTCAGTGACTACATTTCTCACATAACTAAGTACCTCCTCTACTTGTTCAGAAGCTTTGGAAGCAAATAGTTCATTGTAAAACTTCTTAAACATTGCATTTATACTACCAGAATCCTCAACCCAAGAGCCCACTTCATTTTTTAAGCAAATCACCTTATTCCTTACCCTTCGTTGAATGGTTGTGTTATGAAAAAACTTGGTATTTCTGTCACCATAAGAGATCCAATTCAGTCTAGATTTCTGCCACCAATACACTTCCTCTCAATCCCAAGTTTCTTCCAAAAGTCTCAGGATTTTAGCAGCTTCTTGAGCTTTAGTCTCCGTCCATTGTCCCTCATAACAAGCATTCAATTTATTTCTCAGGTCATCCAGGATTTTTTTGTTATTAGGAAAAGCTCTTTTGCTCCAGCTAACTAAAGCTTTTCTACAAGAGTTCAGCCTAGCAGCAAAATCATCAACTTTATTAACTAGAATCTGCCCCTCGGTCAACCAGCTATCTTTCACAATTCCATTATAATGCTCATGAGAAGGCCATGCAGCATCAAATTTAAACAGTTTGGGGGTTTTCTCATCACTATAGCAGCAATCCACAAGTATCACGTGGTGATCAGAACCTATAGGTTTAGAGTGAAAAACCTGAGCATTATTAAAACCTTCTCTAAATGATACATTCCCATAGGCTCTATCAATACGCTCCTTGATATTTGCTTCACCAAACCTTCTGTTGTTTCACGTAAATCTTGCTCCATTAAACTCCAGATCAATCAGGCCACAATCATCAAAACACTTTGGAAATTGAGGAGTCTCCTCAAAGTAACAGGTCTACCACTTCTTTTTCAGATTGTGATCCTACCTCATTAAAATCACCAACACATAACCATGAGCCATCAATTCCCCTGGCCAGAGATCGTAACCTTCTCCAAACTATTTATTTATCCCTTTCATGAGGAGCACCATAGATGAAAGTAATAAAGTCTGGTATATTAATAGTAGAGGAAGAAGCCCTTACATGGATCAAGTTTCTAGACTGGTACAGAATCACCAATTCAATTCCATCACACCACCAAAGGGCCACTAGATCTGCCTCTTGGATCAACATATAATTCTCTGTCCATGCCACAAGCTCTCTTAATACGTTTTAACTTCCCATCCTTCTTTCTAGTTTCCATCAGAAAAATGATTGAGGGTCTGAATCTTCTATTACAGTCTTTTAAGTTTTTAACTGTCAAGGCAACCCCCAAACCTTGACAGTTCCATGATAGTATCTTCATTGTTCCATGGGGGCTGTTTGAGGCCAGCCACCCATGCCTTCAGCCTTGTTGACTTTCTTGTAATTCTTCCTTAGATCATTAGTCTTCTCTTCCTTATTTCTCCTCAGAGATTGCCTTCTTATTCTTGCTTTCATCTTTCTCAAATTTCCAGAAAAACTAGAAACTTCATTTTTAACTGGGCATGTCTCAGTATCAACTCTTCTCTTCTTGTTAATTGAGGCTTCTAATGATTCATCTGCCCCTCTTTTCAGGTTCAAGTTTGCAAGACCCTCAGTCATCTTGTTTACTTCTTTACCAATGTAAATAACCAAGGCTTTTGCATCATTAGGATCCTCCAGCGGTTCCTCCACACTATAATCACAGCTTATAGTAGTCCCAGCTGCATATGAGTTGTCAAGTAATTCACAAGAGATGCCTGTATCATCCTTGTAGCCACTACAGCCTTCCCCCCAATCATTTTGAGAAATAAGTTCAAGATTTTCCTCACACACCTCAGTTCTTGGAGATTCCACTTTCTATTTGTCATTTCCCACACTTGCATCAATATCATTTATCAGACTTGCAACTTTCTTTTTACCACTCTTTAAACCAGGTAAATCTATAGAGAAAATATCAGTACCTTCATTATCAGACTTCTCCTTTTTTAATCTATCATCATTTTTTAAACCAGGCCAGTCTTGCTTTATTATTCTCAAAGCTTCTTCCCAGGTACGCACTTGTGCCGTGGTTGTCCAAGCAACATATCTAGGTTCGTCATCCTTTTCAACTGACATTAGCCTTGGCTTTGTGCATTTACGAAAATCGTGACCTATACAGCCACAACGATAGCAAAATTCTTGTAATTTCTCATACTTAATTGACATCCAATTCTTCTCACCATAAAGTGCAATTTTGCCTTTAAAAAAATTCCTGAAAGAGCTATTGGCAGCATAAAGAAAATAAGAAACAATGTAGAGCATATAACTTATTTTTGCCCCAACATTGACTATTTAAAAAAGCAATATTATGTGGCTTTTGAAGATCATGTGTTACATTACTCCACAATCTCTTAAAGATGCCCAGGCCAAAACAACTTTGCAAATACCTTAAAAACAAAATTACACTTTTAACTATATGAATCATACATATATAGAGATTTTTAAAGCTTCTGAGGCCAAAATATTTTTGCCACACCGGCCTTCATAGAGACTTGGTTTCCATCCCTTGTCTTTCTCTTCATTGTGCCTCTATTTATTAATCTTTACTTTTCAAAACATCAAATCTAAATCATTAAATTCAATCCACAACTTGTTATTGCACTGAATCTTTCCCAAGTTCTTTCCCACGCTACATTATGTTCCATTGCCTGGTCAAACATTAGTCAAGAATCCATTATTGGCAGTGCGCTGCAATTCCGAAATATTAACCCCAACAATATTTGCTTCACATCCTAGACATAAATTTTGTACGTTCTAACTGCATATCAATCTGGTTAGTTTCAGGATAAAATAGGGATGAATGAAACTGAGTTTCGGATCGCAACATACACTAGATTATTATATCTCAAAACAAGGAAATCAATATTTGTAATGACTCTTGCACTGAATAGGACTGACTACAAAATTTATCATTATATGCACCTATAACTTTCAATTATGCTGTCAGTTTACATACAAAATACAGGCACCCACAATGAAGTGGGAGGATAAAAAAAATGAATGAATTTGAATGTGAGATGCAGCATTCTCTGGACAATGAACGAAACACACACGTCATCACTGCACCTTCTCTCTAATACTTCACATGTTCATCAAATTGGCGACAACCATGTGAAGTTTAACGTGTCGTAGTGTTAGATCTCCCAACCATTAGCCAAAGTGTAATCCTGGTGACTGGAAGGAACGATTAGAAAGATTTGGAAGCTTAAGAGTTGCAATTACACCACCGGCAAGAGCACAAGCGGAAGCCAATACAAAGGCAGGTACATTGCCTCCGCCAAAAAGAGCATCCCATGGACCGGCACCAAGGGATATAATCATCTACAAATATGAACAGTGTCAAATCAGGAACAAGAAATCGCATAGAATTTATCTTGGCGCCACTACTGCAGGAGGTTAAATAAACAACGGCCAATTATTCCACACAGAAGATATAAAATCAATTGACTTGCCGCACTGCTCCAAACGGCGTGCAGATATTACAGATATGAAGTAATTTGAATAGAGTCAGTACAAAATCAGAGGGAGAGGAATTGTTCAAAATATAGAATGAAAATTCATTAGGCCCCTTTCGTCCCAAAATAATCCACTCTTAATATTCAAGCACTTATTATGTGATCCGATGTAATTAGCCTGTTATAACAAGTTCTCATCATTGTTATCAATTTAAAAAAAAAAAAAAAAAAAGGTTCTGATCATTCTTGTATAAAAAGAAGGAACCAGTTTTCTAAGAGCAATCCACGCAGCTAAAAGAAGACTTTCCATCATAATCATGACTTTTCATCAAACAATAGTACACAATAGCTAAATATAAATTAAATAAAAAAATGTAATTCAGATAATTAAACCCCAATTTTCTTTCCCTACTCCTACCCCAATCTTGTTTTCTGCCTTCTATAAATATTCAAAATTGTTAATTTACAAAAATACGTTAGGTATGAGCTCCATTCTCTAATAAGAAAGAGTTGTTAACGGTATAGAGTAGGACAAAAGATTGATTTATAAATAGCCAACAGTGCAACAGAAACACACAATAGGATATACCCAATAAAGCTCACTAAAAACAAGTTAAAAGCAAGATACTATTGCTGCTTCAGAAGCATTTGGCCCCCTAAAAATGGCAGACTAACAGATATATGACAATAATCAATTAAATTACCTGTGGAAAAACAATAGCAAGATTTAGAACTCCTATGGCCAATCCTGCACAGTCACGCAGAATCTTTAGAACAAAAATTTTGACAGACAAAAACAAATGCGGTATGCGAAGTAGGAGATATCTACAATCACTGCTAACCTTGGCCACCCCCTGAATTAGCAGTCAGTTCTGCTGTTACAGCAAAAGGAACACTATAGGTGATCTGCCACAGAAAGACAATTTATGTTGTCGTGAACTTTATAGAAAACAATGGAATTGAAAATGGCAATGCAGAAACCCCTTGTACTTACTGCAAGAGGAAACCCAAGAAGAATAAACACAACCAAGGAAGCATTCTTGATGGTTTCATTTGCTCCAAGTACATGTTCAATCCCTTCAGAATAGTCTCGGATGGAAATCAGACTAATTATAGCAGTACCAGCCATGCAAGCAAAAACAACGAAATTGCTCATTGCCCATACTAGTCTCGCACCCATCCACTTACACATCGGTTCAATTAAGAAAGAGGTGATTCCAAGCACAACCTATAAATCCGTTAACTTTCAGCTTAATGATTTGAAAGGGGCAAAAAGAAAAATCAAAAGTAAAAGGAAGAAAATAAATCATCTCTGTATATCCTAGATAAAGTACTTGTAACATTTTTCTTTAAATTCAAAACTAAGCTGTTCAATCTAGAGTTCTTACAGAATTCAATAGCAAACCAAATGCACCTTCTCTAACGCCTTGATCATAAAAATCTACTTCAGAAGGGTTCCCCTTAGGATCCCCATGGAAAACTTCTCTTCCCATCCAGTCTGTGTCAAACAAAAAGAAGGGGAACCATGACATCTGCAGGGGAAAATGTCATTTTAATTATAACAAGGAGGATCTCAACTAGAAGAATCAGCCCCACAATTAATTTGAGAACACACAAAAAATTATGACGTTATAGGAATGCTTTTTTTTTTTTTTTGACAAAGAATTTATAAGAATGGTTTGCATATAAGCCTATACCACATACCCAAGTGAGAGCCATTACTAGAAGCACCGAATGCATTGCAGGTGGCAAATGCCTTATACTGGTCAAGAAATTCACCAACACAGCTCCAGGTCCATCCATGATAGTTTCATCATGTTCTTCAGCTCTCGAGTTCTCGTTCTTCATATTTACATTCCTCTCAAAGTGATCCTCAGTAATCTTGCCATTTAAATCATCCATAACAGGTACAGCAGGCTTAGCTTTGGAAAATTCAAAGCCAATTTGTTGCTGGTCATCCAACAATGGAGCTGAATCTGATAAGCGATGATGTTGATTCACAGTAAGAGGAACCTCATCAGCAAAATACAAGGTGACAAGAGTGCAAAGCGTCAGGAAAACCTGCAGATAATGAGATGATATATCAACCAAATGTCATGTCTAGCAGTATGTGTGGGGGAAAAAAATGATAAATCTGCTGGCCAATAAAGAGCAAGGCAGGTTTAGATGATGTAACCACAAGAAAAACCAGGTTACCAAATAGTAAATAGAGGGATAAAATAGCTATAGAGAATAGTATGAGGATTATCAGTTGCTTTCCAAAAATATAGGATTATTCAAGCCTATGACTTGTAACAACTACAAGAAGGTACAACAAAGAGGTTCTAAGAAGTAACCCACCACAGCTACAAGAAATGCTGCCTTAAGGTTGCCACATGCTTCACAGCAAGCTCTACTCATCAGGAAAGGAAACCACCTGGTTGGGTAAAGAAACACAAATTATTAACCAGCAGTAAACGTAGAAAACACTTCAATAGCTATACGCACAAAATACACCATAATTTCAATCCCTGTTTGTCACTAAGCATATATCATATCTCAAGATATTAAATTCACATTTACTTGCATTCATGGCTCAGCCACGAGAACAATAAAAACCTTCAGTCCCTGCACATTGGAATTTATTACATACATCCATTTATTTCAATCCATGAAAACTTATTACACGTCAGTTTCTTCACACCACTGATGTCAATCTGAGAGTACGTCCTTCCACAATCATTTTGCAAAATCATTATACCATCAATAAGGTAAGACCGTTTGAAAAACAATACTGCTTAAACAATTTCACATATAATGTACATATACATTTAAAAAAAAAAATCTACGAAGTCTCACTTGTTCCACTTTCCACTAGCACCAGCAGAAAATCCTAGAATATTTCCGGCTGCCATCCATGAGCAAAATATAGCATTTGATACATTGCGTTGATCAGGACCTAAGTGAAAGTAAAAGCAATATATATTATAGAAATAAGTATTGATTTGATTGAATACTGGTAAAAGATGAAAATCAAAATGCCCCACCATAATTGACAATAACCCAAACAAATAGATTATTATTATTATTATTATTATTATTATTTACATGTAAGAGAAGGGAAGTTAGCAAGCATTACCTGACAGATCAGCCAAAAGTGCACGAGCTGGTCCCTAAAGATTAAAATTTAAAGGTAGGGGACAGAAAGAAGCTTAGTTTACACCCACTTGATTGCATCTATATAAAGAAAAGGAAAACACGATTGATTTAACAAGGTTACCTGCACAGTATTGTTGGCAAGGTCCAGCATCCAGAACCCAAGAATAAATATGAGAGCAGCCCTCGTTCGGGTTCCCTTAAATGTTCTGTAATTTAAAGATAGATGAAATTCATTGATATCCACATCAATGTATGTACATTTTTTCAAACAAACAATTAAAAAAAAAAAAAGCTAAAAATACCGGCAACTCTCACTTGTGTCCCCTAACACATATCCAATGTCTGCAGAAAACCCTATTAATAGCACCTACATAAAGATAATTGACTTAGCTCATATATAATGCAGTGCAAAAACACATGTTAACTATTGAGGACCAAAGTTATAAATGCTTACAGCAACTGAGATCATAAGAGATCCAACAAGAATAAATGGGCGTCTTCTACCATACTTTGAAGTGCACTTGTCACTCCAAATACCAACACAGGGTTGAACCTATAATAAGGAAAGTGAAGAAAGAACTCACAAATTTAAAACTAGCAAATGATATGCAATAATGGTAAACAAGCCTAAATTAATTTGGACTTTGGACCGTGGCATCTACATTCCACATGCAAAAATTCAGAATTTAAATGAGTAAGCTACTGCACACTAAACAAAATCAAGCTGACAAAAGATGGAATAGGAGACAAAGTTTTAATCCATCAATAAACAAAATAGTTAGTATAATTTATTAATTTATATGATTTAAATGAAATAAAGTGAAAAATTATGGGTTTGCATATATTTTATCGGAGAAGTGGAAAGTCAGATTTCAATAAGTTCATTTTTCAAGGTCTTACTTCTTTTATATCGCTTGCATCTTTATGTTTGACTAAAACAAGTTTTGCAAGGACATTATGGGAATATTCTTGTATGTTTGTGCGAGTATAAATTCCTATAAATATGTGGGAGGGGGTTGTCACAGAGAGAGAGAGAGAGAGGGAGAGCGAGAGCGAGACGTATATCAGCAGCATGATAAGCTAAAATGGAAATCACAGATTTAAAGCAATCTGCTTTACCTTTAATACATATATTTAGCGGCATTGCCAGGTAAACATAAAAATTATTTAAATAAAATGACATGTGCTAAATTAGAAAAGGTGCACTCTGGTCCATCACCTACCACAAGGCCTGTAATAGGGCCACATAGCCAAATAAATGAAGAAAAAACGCGTGACCAATCCCCAGCGTCTGCACCAAGCCACAATAGAGTTTAAAATTAATCAGAAAGATGCAGCAGCATGATTATAAATAATTTGGAAACCCAAAGTTATGAGTTATCATGTCCAATACTAATTTGAAAAACAAGATTCAATAAAGAAACTAGCTCCTCACATGGTGTGTCTAAATATGGTACAACAGCTCTGCTCATGATAGTTCACACACATAGACTAGCATACATGGCAAAGAGAATATCTAAAATACTTATTCCAGAAGCAGTGAAGGAGTTGGCAATTCCACAAGGATTAGCAAGGCATGGACAAACACAGTAAGTTATCTAACAGAATAATCAAAACCAGGTGAATTACTTATTAAGACTGATTATGCTTAACACAAATCCACAGTTCACATGAATCTTTTTTTTAAGCTAGTAAATATTTAACTCATCTTAGTCTATCCATCATATATAACGAAAGCATCACTACATTTGTTGCAACAAGTACACTCAGACATTACCAGTATCTTATCCTAGTACAGAAGAATCCTGCAAAAAGGCGGTGTTGTAAGTGTTTGAGCACAGAAGACTCAAAATGATGGATTAAGTTCACCAGAATGGTCCCGCCACCATCCAACAATGAAAAGAGTACGGGAAGGGGGAAAAAAATAACTGATTCAATCAGACTAATATTCATGCAGACACTAGGATTCAAGAGGACAACTTTTGTCTGCAAAATATTTAATAGGACAAATCATAGAATGCAAGTTTAGCTTCGCTATTCTTTTTTTCTTTTTAATACGATTAGCTGCGTTATTCTTCACAAACTAATTCATATTTATTATGCATGAAACCTATTTATGCTGAAATCTAAAATGCCTCCTGTATCAGATTAAACATTCAATCAAGCAGACTTTACACGCTCAAACTAATGGAAACTATTGATCATATTTGTCTGAAACAAAAGTTCTCTGAGATTGACAACTCTCTGATCCCGCATAGATCTCCGGATGATGATTCACCACCTCTCCAGATCGAAATGGTTACATTTCATTACTCCATTATTAATTATAAAGACAAAGCTACAAGCTCACTAGTCCAGAACATTCCGTTAACATAGACATTCTAGATTTCAATACATCGAATTGGCAAAGAAAACAAATTTAATCACCAACGCTCTATAAAAAGACAGGAACCTGAATATACGGAGTCAAGAGAGAAAGTTGCAGCGCCCATCCGAATTGAACACCCCCGGCAACCGTACAACAAAGAACGAGAGTTATCAAGCTAATATTCCGACTAGAAGGTGCGGCGGCGGCAGCTGCAGGAGAGTCACTTGTAGATCCATTGGGAAGCCCATGATCAGACGAGGGAGAAGTTGGAGAATTGAGGTCGATCCCACGATGGATATCATCAACCCCCACCAATTCCAGTTCCGCTTTCCGGAGGTTCTTGTACGGAACGCGGATCGACACTGAGTCAGACCTCCCCGCCATGACTCGGAACGTGACTCAGTTTGAAATCGCAGAAACTTGTAATCCCAATGCCTATAAAAATCAACCTAGATTCATCCACGAAAATTCCAGCTAAATCCCCGCAAATCAAATCGTTGAGTTTCAACGTCAGAGGCTGCAGGAGAGATACAGACAAGACCCGCAAAAGAAGAATGAAACGGAGGTCAAATTTAGGCGGGCCGAGGAGGATGAGTCCGACGAAACGTCAGGTTCGGTACATTGCCGCAATATGAAGATCGATGCGACTCGTCTACGTGGCAGCCATACGCCTTGTGGGCCCCACTGGGTGAAGCCTCACAGTCAAATCGCATATTCTCGCGGGCACAGGAATTTTTTCACTCGGTACATGGAGTACTGTACACTTATTATCCAGCAGTACAGCCAAAGCCCAAACCTTTTTTTGTTTTTCAATTCAAAAATTTTAAAATGAGGAAGGCTCTAAGCTGAAGAAAACGACGGAAAGATTGTTACAGGTGGCTAAATGGCGTGCGTTGGATCTGACAAAAGGAGTTTTGTGATCGTAATATTGAAGCGTGCATTACTTGCACCTACGACTTGGTCTCAAAAAGAAAGCGAAATGTATGACGTGCACCGACACCTAGAAACTGAGTGCGTAAGCAGTGTAAAATAGTCATAAATGATGACGTTGCGAACCCCCAAAAAAAAAAAAAGTGATGAATGATAACGTGTGCTTTGAATGTGTTTTTGGGTTTTAATGTTTGAGAATATCTGTTTCATTCAATCGGAATCACTAAACGAAGAATTGTGATTATCACCAAATTTATTTGAAACTGTTGATTTGAGGGGTCGGTAGGAGAGGGAGGGAAGGATAAGCGAGGGTAGGACTGGTTTTGATATTACTTTTTTAACATGATTAGGGAGAAAAAAGAGGAGAGGAATATTCAATTATTCCTTGCTTTGTTGGTTCAAGAGATGGAGAGATAGTAATAATTAAGTTATAATTTTATTCTTAAATATAAATTAATTTACATCTTAATTCAAATTATATAGTTTGGTAAAAAAATTCAATCTTGTCGTGTTAATATGTGTATTAAAAGATTGGTACAGTGATTTTGTTATTATAATTAATATAAAGTATATTTTAAATAATAAAATTAAAAAATTTAGGAAAAATGAAATGTTTTTCTTTTGGATTATGGTTTTTCTTCGAGTTTCAATACATGTTTTTAATTAATAAAATAATATATTTGCAAAAATCAATTAATATAATTTTTCATTGTAACAATATTTCTTATTATAATATATCTTTAATTATGATAATATATTTTTATGAATATTAATGGAATATAAAAAAGTATGAGGTGACTCAAAATTTTGGCTCCCAAAAAAACCACTAAGAGAGAGCCAAAATGGGGTAGGAAAGAGAGCAGACTGAGAATTTTGATTTCTAACCAAATAAAAGGAGATGGGCATTTTCTCTCCCCTATCTTTCCTTCAAACCAAACGGGTCCTTCAAAAATATAATATATTTTGAAGAAAAAAAATTTATGTCAAGTTTTATATATTCATTATGTTAAGGTTTTCAATTACACATGGCTATGTGTCTTTTTTCTATTTTATTTAGATTTATAATTAAATACTACTAAATACTAATATTTTAAACATAAGACATATGACCATGTGTAGTGAGAAAACTTGACATAATAAATATAAGTAATTTAATATAAGTATGGTAGTGTCATCAAAAGTAGATTTGAAATGAATATGAAGTTTCTTAGTTTTTCTATTAAAATCAAAAGCAGCTAGGACAGTTAGCCAAAAAAATATTTTTTGGGCAATCTTGGAAAATAAATCCAGGTTTTTTTTCCAATTAACGTTTTTAAGAATTTATATTGATTCTAATCTAAATTATTTTTTCCCTAAAAATACATCTAATAATTGAATGAAAGAGAAGATTATACTTTTATTTATAATCTAACTAGTGAGTACTAGAAATGTATTATAGGGCACATGATGCGTTTGCTTCTCTAATAAATAGATTTTAAATAAAATCGGGTTGTAGAATAGATTTTCTTGAATTATAATTTATACAACTGGTTATAAAATTGATTTACAACAATTCGATTGTCATTAGCTCCTTTAAATAGCTTTTGAGTAAATCGATATTTTATGTCAAAAATAAATTTAACATTAAGAGAGATTTACAGCAATTCGATTGTGATAAGCTCCTTTACATAGCTTTTGAGCAAATCAATATTTTATCTCAAAAATAAATTTTAACATTAAGAGAGATGTTTGTATCATTTTTAACAAAATGTTTTATGAAATACTACCTCCTGTCCTTAATATAAAAGTTAATTTGGTTTTAAAAGTAAGACTCCAGTTTACTTTGTTTCTCATATTTATCCATTGTTTTCCTAAGATAGTCCTTATAATAATTGTATATGTTATAAGTTTCATCAAATGGTAATTTTAGCTAATATACATGATTAGTAACGGTATTTTAAGGAGGACAACACCTATTTATTACAAGTAACTAACTTAACTAATTTTTTTAATTTATTTAAGTTAATCATTTAGCTTTTATATTAAAGACCTGAAATAGTATAATTGATCATAAATTCAACCCAACCAAACACTTTTCATAAAATCTAAAATCTTACATTACATTTTAGTTTTGGGCGAAACTTTGGTCAAATGCTTTAGGTCCATTACATCCAGTGAGCCAGTTGTTATTATTATATCATTCTATTTACTTTTCATTTTCAAGTTAAGAAAGAAGCTGAAAATTTTAAGAATAGATGATTATCCTCCTTTGAAGAGCTATTATATGTTTAGGCTAAGGATTGTGTGATAGGAACGGGATCAAAGATGCTTATGTATCTTAGAGAGGATGATGAAAAAGATTATAGGATTATATTGAAGCTAAAGTCAATACTAAAAAAGTATTTAAAACATATACACACACAAATTTTGTTGCATCACAACAATAACTTTTGCAACCAACTACGTCCATTCATCTGCAAAATGAAAGCGAAGGAGTAGCTGCACTGCCATAGAGGTGTTTAATGATGCATTGAAGGAATCTTCTTTCAATATGGACAATACAAATTTTGTTGACTATTTATGGAGAGAATTTGTATAAATGCAAAAGGATTTATGAAGACTTTATCCTCTTAACTTGTATAGAGCTAAAGAAATATATATAGTCCACTTATGAAAGTACAAGGTCTCACATGGGGTGAGATTAACAAGGTGTATATGAAGATTACCAAGTCTCCATTATTAGGGGTTGGATTCTCACTAGTTCCTAAAACAAGATGTCTGCTTAGATGCATAGGCTTCTTTGATAGATAGATGCCACACTTAAGTCCTTCTTTTGTTATTATTTTGGAAGTTGCAAACTGTAACATCCCAAATTTTGGCTCATAGATACAAGTAATAGCACAAGAAAAGGATGATTACTAAGTCTAATGCAATGAAAGTCCCAGAGATCTCTCAGAAGAAAAAAGAGATTTTCCAAGGGCAAATGTGTAAAACAATAGTGTTCGGGGACTAAAGAATGAAATTGGAAACAACTAAGGGCCAAAGATTATGCCAGAAACTTACAAGAGATGGTTCCAAAGGTTAGGCCTAAGGAGGGACTAAATTGCAACGAAAAGATTCCTAGGCCAAGTAGGGACCTAATTGTGAATAATAAAAATTCTGGCCGATTAATGTTCGAAGTTATCAAAAATGGCCCAAATGTTTCAAAAAAATTCCAGAAAAATGGGAATAGGATCCCAAAGTCAATATAAGGCTAGAAATGATGGAAATACCCTAAAGTCATTTCAGGTTTTTGAGCAATTTGAGATAGTGACTCAAATTGAATTATTTAAGGTACGAGACGGCCTCAAATAATCAGGAAAAACTGGAGAACAGTAGTTGAGGAATTTACACAGATTGTAAAATTACTTCCAGCCCCAGAAACTAACAAGGTTAGCTTTAATTGAATTTAAAGCCTATTTATACCCTATCCGGGGAAAGTCAAATTTCTTGTCTATGGTTTGACTTTGGACCCGAGAAAAATTAGAGGAATATCCTGTGATGAAAGGGAAAGAATAAAACCTAGAGACAGATCAACAGGGTTACGAGCCGATAGGAAAGAATTCGACAAAATCGACTCTGATTGAATATTAATTATTAATATTTTGGGGAAATGAGAAAGAAGTATGATTCCCCTATGAATGTTATTAGAAGAGTATGGGAATGTATTTTGGAGATAAAAAATGTGTTAAACCATGTCCAGAGGTATCGGGTAAGTCAGGACCCGAGAAAGTACCTATTATGATGTAAACCGGTAAGACAGGTGGAGGAATATTTTTGGATGAATTTATGCACGAATTTTGTATGATTTTCCCCTCTATCATATTGCCATAGGAACATGAGGATATGTGTGGAAATGTGTAAAAAGATCAAGGACATATTAGGATTAAAGAAAGGATTTTAAGTAAGGTGATTAAGAAGCTTAATCAAGGTAGTTAAGAAAGTTAACCATGGTTAAGTTAATTAACCATGATGACATAAGCCTGAGATATTTAGCAAGATTCCTTGATGAAGAAGCCAAGATCAAGGGCTAGGATTAATTTGAAAATCAAGGGCCAAGATCTAATCTTGCAAAATAAGATCAATGGCTAGGATTTGTCAAGACTTTTTATAAAAATCTTCTCTCCCTCCCTTATGATATTTTCGTCCACCATGAGAGAGAGGAGAGGGAAAACGAAATGGAGAGAGGAAGAAGGAGAAGAGGAAGAACTCATGATCCTAAGGCCATCCAAGCTTCAAATCAAGGTATGTTCATGGATTTTGATCTAGTTTCTACCTCCCTTGGTATTTTTGAGCTTAGATGTTGGTTTGGTTGGGTTTTTCATGGTTGAAACCTAGGGGGGAGGTGCTGCACGAAATTGTTCAGAATGGGAGAAGATGAAATTAAAGTCATGAACATGTTTAAAGGCTTGAAAACAACAAGAATCAATTGGTTTGATATTGATTCTTCAAGAAATCCAACTTCCCCTTTCATTTGTGTATGATTATGCCATGGCTGGTTCTTTATGTTGGGTCTGGAATTTGATGATTTTGATGCTTCCAATGAGTTTAAATGATGATTTTGTGTAGGAATATATGTAGAAAACATGTTTGGAAGCATTAGAATTG